GGAGCATAATAGTTTGTTAAATTTAAGGATGTAATTAGTGTGTGTGTATAATTAAAGTCAAATGAAATAGGATTGACTGTGGAAGGATCCTTGATAAAGCTTGAGAGTCTTAAACAAAATATTTTAATTATTAGAAGGGTAAACACTAAACACACTACTTTCAACAATAAGAAGAAATTCATTCTTTTGAAATAAAATTGGCTGCCATCACAATCCTTCCTTGAAGTCTCTCTTATCTCTATTAAATGCTGTTGAAGGAAGATCTAAAAGACTGTGGATATAGGGACTTCCTATTTGTGACCTTTTAAGCCAGGGGGAAAACTGTGGAAGATTGTTTCTGGATTTTCCCTAACTCTAACTCTTTTCCTCCTCCTACCTTATTTGCACACTTACCAATAAGTAATCCTAATCTTGGCAGGTTTATGATGGTTTTGCCCAGGCCCTCACATGATCAGACTGCAAAGAAAGGGATCTGGTACGCTGTTTAGGGTTTCAGAGGAAAGACTAACACCCTGAAGCTGGACCTTTTCCCCTGCCTTCACCTAGTTGCCGTCTAGTTCCCCAGTGTCACCATTTCAGTTGCTTTAACAACAATTGCTTTAATTCCTGTTCCTGTACTTCCTATTTGCCAAACTTAGAGTGCTAATGATGTTACAGAAAAAGGTAGACTTCTATGAGAGAATAGCCTTCTTTTTACTGTTGGTAGAAGTTGTTTAAGATCAAAAAGTATAGATTAAGAGTTGTAGAAGGGCTCTTACAGGTCATCTAATCTAACTTTATTATTGCATGCTCAGTGTGTTTTTTCTTATAAAACTGTGGTGTTAGGATTCTAGGAATTTGTTGCCTAGGGGCTGTTGAGGGGTGAATACTCAAAGAGAACTTGGGGAATATGGTAGAACTAGTAAACTGAGCAAAAAAAAGCAATTTAACATAATGGATAGGGTTTTGGACTTGGAGACAGGAAGACCTTTGTTTAAATCCCACCTCAAACATTTATGTGACTGTAGACAAGTATAGTAAAAGGAATTCTGGAGTTGAAGTCAGGAAAACATGGGTCACATCCTACTAGCTGTGTGACCATAGACAAGTTCTCTAGTCTCCTTAAATCTTACTTTGCTTGTTTATAAAATGAAGATATTGAACTAGATGGCTTCTAAAGTCCTTTCTAACTTGAAATCTATGGTCCTGTGTTCATTTTCCTCTTCTCTACCCCAAAAGGTTGTTGTAAGGATCAAACAAGATCATGTTTTAAAGCACTTTGTAATCATCAACAATAATGATGATGATCCATTGAACTCAAAGCATGTGAGTTAGTTCTACTCTGTCACTCTGAGAACAGAAGCAGGAAGGTTCATTGAGGAACATACACTTTGAAAGAAGAGGTAGGATGACAATGGCTATTGGAAGATGTTTCGCATTTGGACAGCAGGGGTAAAGGAGGTTAAGTGTGAAGTACAAAGGAAGCACATTTAGGACACATAGGGAGCCAGGAAACAAAAAAGGATACAAGAATTTTGAGGCACCTATGGCACAGAAATAGAATTGAGCCCAGAGACAGAGGAGTTGACTTAGATACCTACATCTGTAAAGAAAACTCATATGCAAGTTCTGATAGAAAATGACAATTCCATCAGATCTTGCAGCATTATCAATCCCAATCTTCCCTGGGTCAGAAGACTGAATAGTTTCATTTAGCATCAAGCCTGATAGAGTTGAGGCAAAGGATAGAAACAAGGAATGAGTGAGTTTTATAACCAGCTGGATACATGCCAGTCTTTGCCCAGTAAGGTTCTTTTTTGATTGTCCTTCTGATCCCTCTAAGAGGATTGATCCCTAAGGCAAAAAATGGGGAATATGAGTTGGTGAAAAAGTCCAAGAGATTGAAAAAAGAAAACATCAAACCTAGTTCTATTCATTTCCCATGGTTGCCTATTAATCTATTAAGTGTTTCAAGAATTCTAGTAACTTTGTGCCATTGTTTCATTTGCATTTTCTGTTATGTGCTAATGATAAAATTCCTTAGAAAACTAAAAGAAGAGTGTGTACTTATTTCAGCAATGATAGAATACGGAGAGCTAGTGATATATGTCCTTTCTTTCCTGGTACCTGGGTAGAAAGAGACCTAGGTGGCAGAGTAATATCAAATGAAAGGCAAGCCAATCCCAGGGGCTTACAAGAGAGAAGAAAATAGGTCCCAAAGATAAAACTAGCTCAGGATTAAGTATTTCCAGGGTTTGGGCCCTGTCAAAAAGCGTGACTACTAACCTCATAAGTACCTGATCTTCTTTATATCCCCAGATACAGTCAAATTCAAATGGAGCTACTTGATTATGCCTTAAAGCTAAATCACTCTGGCTCTCACTGATTGGCCAATAACAAGTCCTACCTCAAGCCTCTTTTGGTCATTATTTGGGTTTTGATAGATTAGAATGAGTGTAAATAGCAATTGTTTCTGTTCTTGCCAGAAACCCTTGAGGGTCTTCCCCTCCCAGGTAGATTTTTTTTTTAAGTAGGTAAAAGAGGCCATTCTTTGCCTTATTTCTTACCTAGCCTTAGTCACCAAATGGGCCTTGCCTCAGTCAAACTGAGACCTGAGAAAGATCTTAGCTTAAAAAGGCCAAGCTCTCCCACTGCATCCTGGGCCATCCCAGTCATCCTGATCTATGTCTTATCACTGGACCCAGATGGCTCTGGAGGAGAGAGTAAGGCTGGTGACTTTGCACATGTACTGCTTCACGTAAATCCAGTTCGCTTGCAAGTCAAGACATCATCTTCCTGATGTCATTGGTCCTCTTTAAGAATAAAGGACAAATAACAACAATATTTGACCAGAAGAGTTGACATTCCTACTTAAAATCACAGGTCTAAAATTCTGGATAAACTCACTATTGATTCCTATGGCCTTATTTCTTTTCCACAAGCATTTAAGTGCCTACTTTGCTAGACAATTAGAAATTGGAAAAAAAAGGTTCCTACCTTCAGGGAGTTTGCATTGTACTGAAGCAAATGACATATAGGACTTAGAACTGGAGGAATGAGTAAAAGCTTTGAGAGCTGAGGCTTAAAGGAAGTTAAGTATTTTTTTCCTTTTGATCTGTTTCTTCTTTTCCTAACTGTGACTAATATGGAAATATGTTTTACATGATGGCACATCTACAACCTATATCAAATTGCCTACCATTTTAGGAAGAGGGGAGGGGAGGGAGAGAGGGAGAAAAAAACTCAAAACAACCTCAAAATCTTATAAAAATGAATGCTATAAAAATTATCTTGACATGTAATTGGGAGAACAATAAAATACAATTAAAAAAAAAAACTTCACCACCCTGGATGCTCTCCTCTGGACATTGTGCATTTGCCAATGTTCGGTGGTTTTCATAACTGAACATGATACTCCAGATGTGGTCTACTCCAGCGCTTCTTAAATTGTGGTTTGCAATCCCATGGAATTGTGAAAAATTTGGCAACAGTAAGAGGTTTCTAAATGTGCAGTGACCAAAAATTAATTCAAAATCAGGTGCATAATGAATCCAAGGTGTTTCTGGCAGGGCTCACCCATTTTGCTTGAGCAACTTCACTGCAGTGTTAGTTCTAAATACAAAGCGTGCATACTTTGCACTGTGCGTGCCCTGGAGACATGCAGTGCCGATGAACACTGCCCAAAAGGGGTAAAAGGGTCATGAAGGGAAAAAGTTAAAGAAGCCCTGGTCTAGTCAGGACAATGTACAGTGGGATGATCATTTCCTTATTCCCCAGAGCTATGCTATGCATTTCTTAATGCAGACAAAGATAACATTAATTTATTTTTAGCCACACCACACCTTTTCTGTTTGTAGTCCACTGAAAGTCAACAGACCTTTTTCAGACCTATGTATAAACCCATTATTTTTTTAACTCAAATGTAAGCCTTCACATTTATCCCCATTACATTTTATCTTTATTAGTTCAACCTAATGCCATATAGCCTGCTAATATCTTTTAAGATGCTGATTGTCATTCATTGTGTTAACCATCTCTCTCAGCTTTGTGTTATCCACAGATTTGATCTATGCTTTTATGTAAATCATTGATAAAAATGTCAAGCAAAAGAGGGCAAGCATATATCCCTTGGGATGTGATTTAAACTGTGTCCTGAAAGAAAAAAGGTCAGTGGAGGAAAGAGAGTATTCCAAGTATTTAGACTCTGTCTAAAGGATGTCATCACTAAATCTGGACTATGTCTAAATCATATAACTGGTTCGAAAGCAGGGGTGAGGGCTCTGTTGGGGCAGGAAGGACCTGTTGTTTTTATTTGTGAAACACCAATAAGCAGACTAGCTTTTTGGATAAAATTCTGGCCAGTTGTTTTGCCATCATGTTGCTATGTTAAATAAATTCTATTTTTTCACAAATTGATCAAAAATACTTTATTTGAGCTGTGACTACATGTTCCTGGTGTTCAAAAAAAATTATTCAGCATCAGTCCTTCATTGAGCCTATGATACAAGCAGAAAATCTACTTTAACAATGTCTTTTCCACTTCTAATTGATTTCCATTAGTATATCAATTTTATAATGAAAATATTAAAATGAGTATGGTTTGTGCTGCCTGAGATTAGTTTTCCTTTTGTAGAGCAATATATTTAGTTTCAAAGAGCACAATTTCAGAATTTTTCTTCCCTATAAAGTACAGTACTGAAATCCGAAGTGTCCATTTCCTTGTACAGGGCATTTTTCTGCTGTCATTTCAGCTGAGTCCCATTGTGTTTTTAATTCCCTATGATGTGACATAAGAGGAAAATATGTTATAATATGAAAATGAACATTTGTAAGAAAACAAATAAGTATGCATCTGAATCCTCATCTTCTGTGACAGGAGGAAATCAAGTAATACCTTAGGCATATTTGGGCCTTGAGGACTCTCTTTTTCAAACTGGGAAATATATAAGAAAGATCTTGGTGCCAGCAAGAAGGATTTCTGTGTAAATACACTGAAAAGTTTTCCATTTTGTTTCTTGCAGGTAATTTTGTATCCAACTTCCAACAGCTCAAAGACAGCTGAATTGCACAGAATGGTCGTTCCAAAAAACAGCCAGGATTCTGATCTGAAAATCAAATTGGCCGTGAGAATGGATAAACCACCACATATGAAGCATAGTGGGTGAGTGTTGACTTGAGAGGATTGGTAACATCAGTATTTTAATGAGGAGGTTGGTTTTGAACAGTTAGCTCCAACTTATCTTTCTAATCTCATTGGACATTATTCCCCTTTCTGTCTTCTATAATCTAGCCAAAATGACCTTCTTTTTATTCCTTACACATGACATGCTATCCCATAAGCTTGGCGTATACTCCCTCCTTACCAGATCAAGTTTAAGTTTCCTCATGAAGCTTTACCCAATCTTCTCCCTCTGTCTCCAGCTACTAACACTCTACCTCCCCAACTAGTTACCATTTAACTACTTTATTTTTTCTCTTTTTTATTAATCTTATTTTTAATTTATGAAATAAAAAAGCATTTCTATAACATAGCGTAATAAAAAGATGATTGCACATGAAACTGCAAATCTATTATGTACACCTGGCTATTCCTTTTAAATATATAATAAAGTTATCATAGAAATTTCTTTTTTTTTCTTTTTTACACTCCTTCCATCCTAGAGATGGCTACCAATATGTATATATGTATAAAATCATTCTATACATACTTCTGTTTATCAGTTCTTTCTCTGGATGCAGATAGTGTCTTCCTTCATATATCCTTTGTAGTTAATTTGGGTATTTATAATAGTCAAAATGGCTTATTCTCTCAAAATTGTTCTTAAAACAACATTGCTATTACTGTATACAATGTTCTCTTGGTTCTGCTAATTTTGCTCTTTGTTATTTCATCCAAGTTGATCCATGTTTTTCTTTTTTTTTTCTTTTTTTTTTTGGTGAGGCCGTTAGGGTTAAGTGATTTGCCCAGGGTCACACAGCTAGTGAGTATCATGTATCTAAGGCTGGATTTGAACTCAGTTCCTCCTGACTCCAGGGCCAGTGCTCTATCCACTGTGCCATCTAGCTGCCCTCAGATCCATGTTTTTCTAAGATCTTTGAGCTCATAATTTTTTTATAGCACAGTAGTATTTATATAAATTTATATGCTCTAATTTAAATACTTAATATAAACGTATATGTTTTCATTATTTGTGCTACACACACACACACACACACACACACACACACACACATATATGTTTATGTGTCTTATTATCTCCCCTATCATAACATAAACTTGTGGGTAGGAATTGTTTTATTCTTTGTACTTGCATCCTCAGTGCTTAGCACAGTGCCTGACATAGAGTAGCTGTTTAATACATTATTTTTGATTGATTATTCCATCTTTAAAGACCTGAGCATTTCAGTGGACTTCAAGCTTAACATGAGTCAACAGTTTGATGAGGCAGCCTACACAGCTAGTCTTAACCTTCATTAAGAAGAAATGCATATAGTGGCAGCTAGGTGGTGCAGTGGATAGAGCTTCTGCCCTGAATTCAGGAAGACCTGAGTTCAAATCTGCCCTCAGACACGTGATACTTACTAGCTGTGTGACCCTGGGCAAGTCACTTCACCCCATTGTCTCGCAAAAAAAAAAAGAAGAGACGAATAGTGTCTAGGACTAGGTGATGTAGTACCACTGTACTTTGTTCTGTTGAGGACAGATCTAGGGTATTGTATTTAGTTGCCACTCTCTGGGAAGTACATTGATAGGCTAGAGATCATTCAGAGGGAATGTCACCTGGGAGTGAAAATCCTTGAGGTTATGCTGCATGGAATTTGGTTGAAGGAACTGAGAAAGTTTAGTGTAAAGATGTTAGAGAAGACTTGAGGACGTGATAGAGGCTGTCATATGGAAGAGATATTAGGATTATTCTGCCTGAGGGCAGGACTATGAGTGGTGGTTGAAAGCTACAAAGAGGTGAATCTATAATTGATTTAAGAGAAAATTTCCTAGCTTTTTAGAGCTGTCCAGAAGTGGATTGAGTTGTCTCAAGAAGTAGTGGGTTCTTTCACTAGAGATCTACTATATGTCTTGGAGTCATCTTTATAGAGCTGGTAATTAAGCTTATGAGAGCTGTTGAAGTCAAGAATTTAGAAAAGAGCCCAGGATAGAGGTTTGCAGGTTAGTTAGGTGGTCTGACATAGAAGATGACTCATAGCAAAGGAGATTGAGAAGGAGCAATCAGGTAGGTAGAAGAAGTGAGATAACAATTTCACAAAAACTCACAGAAGAGAGATTATCCAGGAGGGGAGGGTGGTCAGTAATATTGACTGATTCAGAGAGGTCAGAAAGGATCAAGACTGAGAAGAGGTCAACAGATTAGGCAATTAGGAAATTATTAATGTTTTTTTAGATAGCATTTCTAGGTAAGTGATGAGGTCTGAAGCCAGATTTCAAAGTTAAAAGTAAGAAAAAGGGAGGTGGAAACATCAGTAGATAGCCTTTTCTAGCAATTCAGCTATGAAAGAAAGGAGTGATATAAGATATGAACAAGTTGAGACTGTCAAGTCATTGGATAAAGACTAAGTGGTAAGGCTAGAATAGTAGCAATACTAGAAACCCTGCAACTAACCCTATACCCAAACCACAATGCTTTATGATCTAATAATACCAACTGCAGTATCTGCCCTTGTAAAGGAATTCTTGCTCAAGTTTGTTTCAGCAGAATGTAGTAGTGGAAAGAGCAATGGTCCTGGAGTCAGAAAATCCCGATCTGATGCATGACCCTGGACAATGAAATTTTTTGAAACTTGGCTTCCTAATCTCTAGAATTGGTAAAGTTATCATAAGTTTTGTATAAATGGGAGTTATTATTGATCTATTATCTTATGGTGTTGGTGGTGATGACGATACCAGATTGTTCCAGTACCAGATTGTTAAGCAATAAATTTCTATTTAAACATGCTGATAACCTAAAGTTCTGTTTAGGTTAAGTTATTTGTGCAAATCTCATGGATTTTTCAGTGACACAGTTATCAACATTATAACCAAGGTCTCTTCCTGATTCTCAGTCTAGATTTTTTTTTCTTTTTTCATTAAAATGTCTTGTGTCTGTGTACTGTGCTCTGAATACTAGGAAAATAAATCCCTGGAGACTTAGCAATGTAGGATAAGAATGGTTTGTTTTGTTGTATCTAGTAACTACAGATAATTATGAAACAATGTAAAGGGAGAACATTTTAAAGATTATATATTTAAGAATCGGTAGTAACTAAATTCACATTTCCCAGAAGAGTCCTATCCATCAGTCAAAAATAATGTCTGAAAAATATCATTAAAGCTTAAAGAGACTTCAAAGATGAAAATATCTCATTGAAAATGTCATTCTTCTGGTTCCTAAACAGTTGAACCAAGATTGATATATTAGTCTCTTTACCTAAATTAAGAATCATTTTTTTCACAATCCAATATAATAGAAATATCAGTGGATTAGAAGTCAGAGGACTTGGGATCACATATCAAATCTACTAGTTTTACTACCGCCTGGTTTTGGGAAGATCATCTGATCTCACTAAATCTCAGTTTCCTCATCTGTAAAATGAGTTAGATTATTTCTAATGTTCTTTGAAATTCTAAATCTGTGATACCTTGGTGATACAATAGATACCCACCATCATGACTATGATATCAGATAAAGATATTGTAGGCTTTTCATGCTATTTTGAAAGAAATATGTCAACTATAAAGTGGGAGAAGCAGTAAGTGCAGTGAGGAAGGGAAGAAAACAATAAGGATGTAACACTTCATAAATGAATCAGTTTAATTTAAAAAAGTGTTTAGAATTGGGTTTTTCTGGGGTTAATTAAGTTTAGTAAAAGAATTAAAGTCAACTAACTTTGTTCTTGTAAATCCTGTTATTACAAACCAAAGTGTAGTAATGTAGTAGGAATGGTAGATTAATAGCACTTTGCTTTTGGGCTGTAGGAATTGTGTTCTGTCAGTAATTCGTTCTGTGATAAATAATTAACTTCTGACTATGAATAATTGAAAAGAGAGACAAGCCTTGGAAGGAAAAAGATTATTTTTTATTTCAGACATAGGAAACCCTTCTTACAGAGTTTTTAAGTGGGTTAAATAGCAGAATGCAAATTAAGTACGTTAGTTCTAGCCCGTGTTAAGGACTAGTCTTTGAAATGTTACGTAATGTGGGCTAACATTTTTTTCTTTTTCCCTTCATAACCTGAGTCCACAGTGATTTCCCTTCCTCTCTGATTTTTTGGTTGCTTTTGTGGTTTGCAACTCTCCTTTGACATTTAGCATATGTTACCTTGTGTTATAACCCAGTAAATATTTGATCACTGTTCATACATTGTTGTTTATGCTGTTGTGTATTTGTCCCTATGACTATAATAGCTGGCATTTATATAGTGCTTTGAGATTTGTTAAGTACTCGTCTACATTGTTTCATGTGATTCCCAGAACTGCTTGAGGCAGCATTTATAGATGTTGGTACCCTCATTTACAAATGAGTAATTCCAGTTAGATTGTAAACATCCTGATAAAAGGGGATATATACATACACACACACACACACACACACACACTTTATTTATTCTACCATTTTTCTTAATAACAGGTTGTACTTAATGAATTTTAGCAAAGAAGATAAACAGTATGCTTCTAAGAGTTGTGAATAGCAATTATAAATGAAAGCAAAACGCATTAAAATATGAAGTGCTGCATAAGAATATTGAACAGTGTTATTAATTTAGCCTAGTAAAGAAAGTGTCATTTCAATAGTAAAAGGCAAAGTTCAGTTGTCAAATGTTGCTTTCAATTTTTTTAACTCCTTTAAAGCAAAAAAATAAAACTAATTTGCTGTAAAACATGCTGGCCCATAAGCATCCATTAAGAGCGCCGAGGATACGAAGAAAGGCTAAAACAAAACAAAACAACAGTAACAACAAAAAACAGCTGACAATCAAAACAAAACAAAAAACCTGACTTTTGCCCTCAAGAAATATAAGTTCTAATGAGAGAGACAATGTGTAAAAATCTATTTATATATAAGATACAATATACCTATGGAAGGTAATCTCAGATGAGAAATCAATAACAGTTGGGAAGACTAGGAAAGGCTGTCTGTAGAAGGTAGAATTTGTGGAATAAGCTAGGGA